ACAAAACTCAAGAAATATCCTTTCATTTTTTAGTGTTACTCAGAGACAACATGACATAGGTATCTCAAAAATAACCAGAAAAAAACACTGGGAAATATATAAAAGAATTGGTATTATCTGACAGACTATCTCAATTTTGGATGGAAGTCTAGTGTTAAAGAAAAAAAAAAATCCAGTATACATCGCCTCTTTTGTTGATGAATCCTGAGTTAAATGTCTCTTCAACTAACTCTTTATACCTGAAATCACCACTCATTTCCTACATTAGGTATAGTGGTTTCTCATAAGTTAGGAAATAACCAATTTCTGCAAATTTCATCTCTTTAAAAAATTATCAGAAGAAATTTTGGCACTTCTGAAGCACAAAGCTTTCAAAGAAAGTTTTTATCGGCAGAAAAGTTGATTAACAAGGAAGAGAGATATAAGTAGAAATGAAATTTTACTCTCCACTAATTAAGGCCTTTTCAAGTCGATAAGCCCTATGCTATATAGGCTATTGATTCCTTCAATTTTAATTGTCCTGTTTCAAGAAGAGAAACCTCTCCACCAAACAAAGGCATCCAATCATACCCAAGTTTACATTCGGGCTCTTGTCCTAGAACATCTCTGTTTGCTTGATGTATCCAAGATCTGGAAGCTAGCACACTAGTTCAAAGGCGCAAGGAGACAGGGTGCAGGCGGTTGGAGGTAGGAGAAATCTCATCCATGTAATAGACCTTAGGTTTGGTAAGGTCTACCCTTCTCCCCATATCTTCACTTTGAAGAAAACTACAAACTGATTCCTAAAGCCAAAACCAAATACTATATAATGACTACAATATTTTATTTTAAATGTTCACTTTGGGTTTTCAACCAAAGCTTTTGATTTGGATTTAAAAGGGAAACACAAAGACTTTTTGTATTCTACATCATTTTTAGCCCGGGAAACAATAAAACCCAATAAGAAATAGCCTGTCATTAGATTCTCAACTAAATATTTTAAGAAGAGAAGGATATATAAAGACAGAGGGATTTCAAATCATAAACTCTTTCTGAC